AACAAAGTTGCTGGAAAAGCTCAGCAGGTCTGGCAGCATCTGTGAAGGAAAAAACAGAGTTAACGTTTCGGGTCCGGTGACCCTTCCTCAGAATTTCCTTCTTTTGAACTCTCTTCAGCTTAATAATAACCTTTCCAATAATTGGGCCAAACTCCAATTTTGTTTAAAAACCAAAAGAACTGCAGACGCTGGAAATCAGAAAACAAAACAGAAATTGCTGGAAAAGCTCAGCAGGCCTGGCAGCATCTGTGGAGAGAAATCACAAGTTAACGTTTCGGGTGCAGTGACCCTTCTTCACAACGTTAGACTTTGCGTTTGTTTTAAAGTTTACATAGTTATTTGCAAAATATTGCGGTCATGCTGGAAACCTGAAACGGTGTTGTCTTGGAGTGAAAGTGTTATACTGGACTCGACACATTGACTCTTCTCTCCCCACCTTTATTTACATGCATTTGAGAGACCAGGAAGGTCTGATAATTGAACAGATCCCCTTCAGCAGAAAGACGTCATACAGTGGTCTAGACCTGCTGACATTCGTCCAGCGCTCTCTTCATTTTATTTGACAGCCAACCAAAACTTCGTAGCTTATCAACTGCGTTAGCATTGAGTGTGATCAGGGATCATTGTAACATCTGAAGTTACAGACTAAGCTGTGCTGCAGCCTGGTCTGAAGTCACTAGACAGCGATCAAAAACCCAAAATTTCTTCGAGCTAACCTTCTTCCCCGGTCGCTTGCTACCTTTGTGCGCGCGCGCTGTGGTCAAGGAATGGGGTCAAAGAGCTTGGGGGACGTTGAGAGAAGTGGGTGGGGCCAAGATTGAGTCCCGGCGGGGGCGTGGTGGGGAATTGGTTTATGATACGGCGGAACAGAGGTGATTGACAGTTGGAGCCGTGGAGGGGGCGGGGCTGAGGTGATGGTCCGGCGGAGCCAAGAAGGGGGCGGGTCTGAGGTGACCTGAAATGGGCGGTCCCTACGTGATGGACAGGTGGGCCGGGGGGATGTGGCGCAGAAGGGATGTAATCAAAGCTATGGACTGACAGGGCTGGTGAAGGGGCGGGGCCGAGGGTAGAATGAGAATTTCCAGACCCAGCAGCCGTTGGGCCGTAGCACGTGCCACAAGACGTTGACTGGTGGTGGCGCGCGCGGAGTTGCAGCCATGGTTGAGCCTGAGAGGAAGAGAGCTCGGTTGGGTGACCCAGAGCAACAGGGAGGCCCGGGTCTCCAGCATGAAGAGCCGATCGGCGGAGCCGCTCCTACACCCCAGCCGGAGGAGGAACTTGAAGAAGCGAGGCGACGATACCGCGGGGGCCTCTGCGACGAGTTTGCCGTTGTGACCGGTACGGATGAAGCCGTAGCTCAGTGTTACCTGGCGGAAAATGACTGGCTTTTAGAAGTAGGTTGGCTGAGCAGGAATTGTCGGCGACCTTTTCGTGATGCTCACTTTCAAAATGCTGTAGCCGGGACAAGAAAGAAGGCTTTTGGAAGTGTTGCATTTGTTTAGCTGTCACGGGGAATACGGTGTTATGTTTCTGTTTGTGATCAGGCAGAGTTGTATCTATTGGTCGTCATCAGTTCTTCAACTTTAAGCTGAAGTTTCAGAAGGGTCTAGGCCCGAAACGTCAGCTTTCCTGCTCCTCTGATGCTGCTTGGCCTGCTGTGTTCATCCAGCTCTACACCTTGTTATCTCTGCTTCATCAGGGGGACGTCGCTAAAAATCCCACGGTGCCGTTATGAAGAGCAGGAGAGTTTTCCCTGGGACCTAGGCAATGTTTATTCTTTCATCAGCATCGTTGACACCGATTATCTGATTAGGTCTCTTAGGCAGTGAGGATAGGCGATTATTTGTACTCTGTGTCATAGAGACATAAAATTCTTATAGCATGAAAAGATGCCTTTCGGCCCACGTGTCGCCGGTCATCAAACATCCAGCTATTCTAATTCCATTTGCTAGCATTTGGCCCGTAATCTTGGCGCATCAAGTGTTCGTCTAAATAGGTTTTAAATATCTTGAATGTTCCTACCTCTGTCACGCTTTTAGGCAGAGAATTCAGGATACCCCATAATCTTGTGTCTTTTAAAATCTCAAATCCTGCCTAAACACCCTACGCCTTGCTTTGAAACTGTGTCCCCTTGTTATGGACCCTTCTGTTACTGAAAAATTTCTATCTATGCCCCTCCAGAACTCTGTAAACCTCCATCGTAGACCACCCCCCGCCCCCGCCATCAGCCTTCTCTGCTCGAAGTAAAATAACCTTGGCCTATCTGGTCTCTCTTCGTAGCTGAATCGCTCCAGCCCAGGCATCGTCCCAGTGAATCTCCTCTGCACCCTCTGTATAATCACATCCTTCCTATTGTGTGGCTATCGAAACTGCACGAAGTATTTGAGCTGTGGCCTAACTAATGTTATATATAGCTCCAACATAACCTCTTTGCTCTTGTATTGAGGGCCTTGACTGATAAAGGCAAGTATCCCATATGTCTTAACCATCTTATCTCCCTGTTCTGCAGCCTTCAAGGATCTCTGGACACGAACACCCAGGTTGCTGTATACTTCCTCGGGTCCTGACATTCATCATATATTCTCTTGCCTTGTTAGTCCTCCCAAAATGATTACATCTCACTTCAGGATTAAATTCTATTTACCACTGTTTAACCCATCTGACTAGCCCATCTGTCTTTCCTCCTTGTTATTTACCACACCACCAATTTTTGTCATCTGCAAACTTCTTATCTCCTAGGTCATAAATGTATACCATGAACAGCAAGGGACCCAGCACTGGACCCTGTGTTATGCCACTGAACATGTGCTTTTGTCTCACACATCCTTCGGCTGTAACCCTCTGCTTTCTGCCATTAGGCTATTTTGGATCCAATTTGACAAACTGCCGTGGATCGCATGGACTGTCAGCTTCCTAACTAGCCTGCCATATATAACCTTACCAAAAGCTTTCCCGAAATCCATACAGACTGCATCAACACTAACCTCATCTCGTCACACATAGCTACCTTCTCAAAATCTAATCAAATTTGTTCGATGTAATCTTCCCCCTCGCAAAGCTGTGCTGACTGTCTTTGATTAATTCTGTCCCTCAATATTTTCCAATAGTTTCCCTACCACAGATGGTCTGTAGTATTCTGGTTTATCATGACCATCCTTCTTGAATAAATGTACTACATTAGCTGTCCTCCAGTTCTCCTGAACCCATAGGATGGCAGTGTGATTCCTTTGTTCAGGAAGGGCATCAGGGATAGGCCAGGTAATTACGGACCTGTTAACCTGATATCAATGGTAGGGAAATTATTCGGTTTCTGCCATAAGCTTCTTTTAAATCCAGCCCTGTATATACCTTGACATCCAGGGTTCTCTGTGCTTGCTTTATCCCACCCTTCACCTTTTATGGGTGACCTTTACTGTTGCCATTACAGTAGGAAACATTCAAAAGGGTATGGATTTTCCTACACTTGTACTTAGGCCAGATTTCCTTTATTCTTATTAAAATTGTGTCGTCTCTCCCCCCCACCCCCCCCAAAAAAAATTCAGAACCTTTATTTCTGATACATCTTTGTCCTTAACCATATTTACCTTTAATCTTACTGAATTATGGTTGCTGTCACTGAAATGCTTGCCCACTGCATATCTACCACTTGCCTGGCTTTGTTCCTGAAAATTAGGACAAGCACTGCTCCCTTTCTTGTAGGACTTTCTACGTGATGGTTTATAAAGCTCTCCTGGACAGATTTTATGAATTCTGCTCCCTCTAAGCCTTTCAAACCTGTCTATACCAGTTAATATTCAGGAAATTGAAATCCTGTATTGTGAATACTGTATTATTTATATTGCTGTATAATTTGCTGCCATATCTCTTTCCATCTCCCAGACTGCTTGGGAGCCTATAGTACGCCTCCAGCAAAGCAATTGCCCCCATTTTTGTTTTTAAGTTCTACCCATACGACCTCATTTGAGGAGCCTTCTAAGATATCATCCTTCCTTACTAATGTAATTGACTCCTCTCAACATTGAGACACTACCTTCTCTTTTACACCATCTCACCCACCATTTCACTTCAGATTCTCTACCCTGGAATATTGAGCTACCAGTCCTATACCTTTCCCAATCATGCCTCCATGATGGTAATGATATCACATCCCCATGCATTAATTGATGGTCTCAACTCAATTGCCTTACTTGCAAGACTCCTTGCATTAAAATAACACATTTTGCTGTACTTCAACATGCTATCTTGGGGAAGGTGAACTTGGCCATTTGAAGGAAATCTGTACTACAATTTAGAGTGAATTGATTTGGCATGAAGTGGAAGATCAGTGCAAGCAGGTTTTGTGCAGTGTTGGCTATATTACTTACATACAGTGCTGATTCTTCAAAAGTACTTTTCTTGATAATAAAGCACTACGGAATGCCCTAAAGTCATAAAAAGTGCCGTACAAATGAGGTCTATCTTTACCTGTGCCTTTTGTCATGTTATCTTACTGTTTCAATCTTCCTGCCAAAGAGATTTTCAGAGTTGTTGGCAATACCTCAAACATGATCTCTGGCTATTCTTTTCAGGATCTCCATCTCTTTTAATTACAGCATTATCCTTTAGTAGGACTTTGACGTGGAAGCACAAAAAGAAAAACTTAAGTACCTTAGTAGCACATTTGAAGAAAGGAAATGATCCTTTCTGTCAAGTTCTGAGCTCGTTTCCAGTTAACTACCCCAAACCTAGATTTGACTGGGAGCATTGATGTCTAAAGTTTCCACCCACAATCAAGTCTTATCACAGCAAGGGTTACATTTGATTAACCCTTGTGCAATACCAGTGAATTGTTTGAGGATGGAGAAGGGCACAGAAAACATCAGCTAATATCAAAGAATTTTTGCTCATCAAAATGCAATTGCAGATTCTGCATTCTCGTAGCTAAACTGCATTCAGATTAACTTTAAAAAATGTGACGAAAGATTATGTTGGATTGATTTTTATTTTCTGATTATTCACAGAGAGCCCTCAACTCCTATTTTGAAACGGGTGTTCAGCCATCTTCCTCTGCAATGGAGTCTACCTCACAGTTGATTGAGAGGACTGATTTCCAGGGATGGTAATGCATGGATCCCATTTATTGTAACTATTGCAACTTTATATACATGCAGACACATTTTGGAAAACGTATCTTTTCACATTCCTGAAATATTCTGAAATTTGTAAATAATTTGCTACAGTAAGAAACTTAGTAAGATTATAGCTTTTTTTTAGAAAAGGCTTAATTTTCAAGTATGCAAGTTTGAATGGGAAGACAGGTTACTTTCAAGCAGAAACTGTGATGAATTCAGTTGTTGCAGCAGCCACTTTTTCAAATATGTTTGGCGTCTGCAGAAATCAAGGTAGTCACATAGTTCTTGAGAGTATTTTCAGGATTAGTGTTTGTTGAAATTGAAAAAGACCAGTTTGAATTTTTCAGTCAATAGTGCTCGTCTATATTGCTTGAGATGAAAAGAAAGAAGCACTGTGTGTTAACTCACTCCCAACAGTAGTGCATTCAGATTGCAAACTTTTATTTTACTTAAAGGTAGTGTTGTGAAGTGTCATTTTTGTTTATATGAATATACTGTTACTAATCTTATGGTAGATTAATTTAATTAATGGTTTAATCCTAAAACTAGTGATGATGAAGTGATGCTTTTTGAAAGCAGCAAAGTTATAGAAATTTACAGGATAATTCCATTACCGAAAATAATTTACTGAAGTGTCCGTGTACTGACCTAGATGCACAGCCAGAAGTGGGCGGAGATATTTGTAAAGACTTCAAGAATTTGCATCTTAGTTAAAGATATGGAAGCCATGAAAGCTGGAGTAGGCAGTGTAAAAAGGAACCAAGAATTAAATAGCAACATAAGGGGAAGAAGAAAATACTAGAGCCTGACATCATCACCTTTGCTGTTTGTTTGTTTAAAATTAGAATGCCATAAATTGATTACATGATGAGGATGACATACAAGTTGCAATCCCTCATACCTCTGAATGTAACTTATTTTGCAGCCTGCTTTTGGGATATTAATGATATGTTCAATGACCTTGTGCATATTCTGCAATTTTCTGTATCTCATTATAAAACTTATAAAATACGTTTTGGCTTTTCTACTTTCAAGGGTTACATTACCTTCTGTTTTCTAATTAATGTTAGAAAAATCACTGTAAATGTGATTTTTGTTTTTGTACAAGTGACTAGAGAAAAGTAAACACCCAAATGAAAAAAAGATAATGTTCAAAAGGAGGATAAATAGGCAGAAATTGGAAAGTTTGGAAATCTGTATTTCTTGTTCTTTCCTGGTGTATGGGTGTAGCTGGTAAGATCACTATTTATTCCTTATTCTTACTTGCTCATGAATAGAATGGCTTGCTAGGCTGTTTCAAAGGGTAGTTAAGAGCCAGCTACATTGCTGAGCCTGGACTGGGTAAGGATGGCAGATATCCTTCCCTAAAATTCATTAATGAGCCAGGTGGGTTTTTTTATGAAAATGGATGATAGTTTTCATTGTCAACATTCCATAGCTCTAATTTTTAAATTGATTTTGAATTCCACCTGATTCTGTGGCAGTTATATTTAAACTCACTTTCCCAGAGCATTAGTTTGAGCTTCTGAGTTACTAGTCAGCCATATTACCACTATGCCACCCTCTTCCTGTGTTATTTATACCCTTTAGTGTATACCTCATTTGCCTATTTGAGAAGCCTCCTGTTGTTAATTTATTGCTCTTGTATGCTATATTTAATGTCAATATCTCATTGCTGTGTAGCAGTGATAGTGGCACAAAATATTTGGGTGAAACTTTTCCAGCTGTCTACTTATTTCTTCCTGTAAGATGGTTCTTTTAAAAGTAATTGGGTCTTGTAGCACAGTGGTGGTGTCCCTACCTTTGGGCCAGAAGAACCAGCTTCAAGTTCAAATGTGTCTAAACAGTTTAATCAAAAAAAATTAAAATTCACCTCTGGCCAAACTTGATGATCATCTATTCTAACATTTATCCCCTTTAGTTGGTATAAATATGGTTTCATCACACTCCTAAAAAGCACTTTGAGACATTCGACAATGTTAAAGGTGTTATGTAAATACATAGCTGTCGTGGACACGTTTGTGTGGTTTACGTATAAGAGGAAGAGGGTGCATCCATGTATTTGATCATGCACAAGTATTTTTGAATGCAATTGGCAATGCTACGTATGTGGCGAGTGCAGAGCAGTTAAGATGACTATGTAGTACAGATGAACTTGCTTTGACTATTCTTTTTTTTTTTAATGTAGCATTGACTTGACAGACACTGATAATGAGCAGACCAGCAAGGGAAATACTGAACAGCCACAAGTAGATGAAAGTCAGATCTTGTTGTTAACGTGGAACATAGATGGACTTGATCTGGCAAACTTGCAGGAAAGAGCACGGGGAGTTTGTGCTTGCCTAGCACTGTGAGTATAAATGTTCCAGCAGTATGAACAAGGTAGTTAGATGGTAAAAGAATTCATAAAAATGTGCATTTTGCATGCTTTCAGCACAGTTTCTGTGTAAGGCTTGACTTCCATGAAATAGGAAAATAATTATTAGTTGAAATGTAACTTCTTACACCAATGGCAAAAGAATAAAACCTGAATTATGATTCAAAAATCTACAATGTAAACTCTTCCTCTTTCTCTTTCTTAACATTCATACACTTAAAGACACTCGGATGAAACAATTCACAAATACTTTGGGTAGGGAAGAAAAAGAATGTCAGAAACAATTCCGGCTTCAATTCCCGTCACAGGTTGGGCTGTTTTCTTTTGGCTTTCTTTCAACTCATTCTAATTCTTTGCTAATGAAGCAAAATTGTAGATACACTGTTCTCAGTATTTCATTCACTAGTTGAGGTTTTGCCCTATTCGTGCCTCTGAAGGAGATTTTTTTCCCTCTTTTCCTTTCAACAGGTGATTTGTAAAGATAACAACTTGCAGCGAAAAGTGAAGGGCTGTAGCTGGCTACTAGGATAAATTTCCAGAGGACCACACAGATGTCTCCACCTATAATTGTCTGTCTGATATCCAAGCTGCCAGAACTGTTGTTTCTCAAATCTGTAATGCTTGATGCTGCTCATTTTTTTTGTTTTTTTTTTTTTAGAAATTGCAGGAATGCTGCTTATGAATTTGTGCAAGTTCCTAATTTACCTTACATTCTGAAAAAAGTCTCTAGTTTGAGTGATCTAAACTGCTGATCCCATAGCTACCTTTCTCCCTTGTAAATTCTACACCTGTTCTAATGGAATTTCTTTTTGTAGTCCTAAATGTTGTTTAACAAGCTTCAGGCACCAGCTTATAAGCATTGAATATCGCAGTTTTGGCAGTTTCATATTCTGCCATTTGTACTTCTGTCAAACTGGTGTGTGAGTCATATTAGAACTTGTCAAAATACTGTACCATTTAAAGTTCAAACATATTTTGACATATTTGTTGATCTAGCTATCTTCTCAAGTGAGTTAAAATACCATTATATTCACCCTCATTAAATTTAAGCAGTAAGGAGGATGATTCTTAGTTAAATTAAGTCCCTCATTTGGAATTGGAATCATGTTCTGAGCTATTACCTGCTTTTTTTTCCCCCTTTGCTCCAGATATTCCACAGTCAATTCATGTTCTCTAAGTTTTTTCTTTTTATCTCTTTGGAATTCAAGCTATTTTAATTCCATTTCTTGACCCGATTTCCTCTATCTTTTTCCTCCCTTTCCATTTCAAAAGTTCTTAACTCGGGATCCCTTTCCATTTCTGAGATTAGAAGAGTCATAACAGACTTAATGTTGACTTTATTTTTCCTCAGATAGTAGGAACTGCCGATACTGGAGAATCTGAGATAACAAGGTGTAGAGCTGGATGAACACAGCAGGCCAAGCAGCATCAGAGGAGCAGGAAAGCTGACGTTTCGGGTCTAGACCCTTCTT